TTTATTATATAAGAGATACACAAGTTTCATTCAAATTTGATACATTATGCCTGTTGCAATACATGTCTATGGTAATTCAATTTGCTTTAATACTTGACTTTTTAGTCATTAATAACAGATTCCGGAATAGCAACTGTGTCATTTACAGTGACTTGTTCTGATTGTATTTAAAATAACTGGAGGCTATTTTCTTTCAACAAATGCTGTCTCTGATCCATATATTTAACATGTCTTGATCAATCTACCGGTAATTCAAACTATACATGCACATCCTGTCATACTTATGCACATTGATTGGTCTGATGATCAGATTTCAAGATGGCTGAATGGCAGCCATTTTAATGTTTAAAATGCCTCAAAATCAAGCATTTTTGTGATTCAAGAACCGGACTCTAGTTTATTGATGGATTTTGTTCAAACTAAGTATAAAAACTGGACCTTTGATATACAACATTTTGTTTTTCAGATCAGTATCAAAATGGCTGACTGACTGCAATTTTGTATTAATTAACGAATGCAAATTGCAAATCATGTCTCCTACAATGTATTGACATGCATTTGTTCTGATTGTAAATCACTCATTTCAGTTTTTTAACTATTGAACAAAGGAGACTGTATCATGTCATGACATGTCTTGTTAATACTAAATTGAGTTATTGTTTTGTATAATTGTAGATGATTCAGAATATTCAGGATGAGAGCAGTTTTAGTATAGAGGCATTGAAAGGTAAGTCAGATAATTACAACGTGTGAGGCCAGATAATTACAACGTGTGAGGCCAGATAATTACAACGTGTGAGGCCAGATAATTACAACGTGTGAGGCCAGATAATTACAACGTGTGAGGCCAGATAATTACAACGTGTGAGGCCAGATAATTACAACGTGTGAGGCCAGATAATTACAATGTGTGAGGCCAGATAATTACAACGTGTGAGGCCAGATAATTACAATGTGTGAGGCCAGATAATTACAATGTGTGAGGCCAGATAATTACAACGTGTGAGGCCAGATAATTACAACGTGTGAGGCCAGATAATTACAACGTGTGAGGCCAGATAATTACAACGTGTGAGGCCAGATAATTACAACGTGTGAGGCCAGATAATTACAACGTGTGAGGCCAGATAATTCATTTTCATGGAATACTTCAACTATTAAATGACTCATTGCTTGATCATGTGAACATTAAATGACTCATTGCTTGATCATGTGAACATTAAATGACTCATTGCTTGATCATGTGAACATTAAACGACTCATTGCTTGCTGACCTGTGAACATTAACTCCTTTGTCCCCATATTAACATTGACCCATTCATTGTCTAATGTCATGACTCATTGTCTGAGTCATTGGAACATTAAATGACTCATTGCTTGGTCATGTGAATATTAATTTATTTCATTGCTTAAGGAACATTGATTCATTTCATTGCCAATTCAACATCAACTCATTGCTTGACTATGTTAACATTGACTCATTGTTTATTGTTTGGGGGATACCTAGTAAATAACACTGAATATAACATTAATCCTATTTCATTTTTATTTCAGATGAAACGGGGGACACATACACAGTTTGCTTGAAGTGATTTTAATCTCAATGGTTTTACATGCCTGCTCTTCTGTATTTCTTTTTCTGTTTACTTATTTTCGAAAGAACAAAATTATTTGGTAATAGATCATGTATTTGACAACTAACAAGCTTAAATTAACTGATCTACAGACAAAATTTCATCAAAGCAACTGTTGAGATTTGAAAAAAAACTGCCATGCATGCTTACAGGCTTTTCTTTATTTTTTTAGATCAGAATAATAAATGTTATAAATACAGTGCTTCAAATTAATAATGTTAAAAGCAAAAATATATGAAGCATTTCCAGGATTTATGAAATGTACAGATAATTAAGATATGGCAAACTGTTTTTGAAAACTTTTCATATTATACATGTAAGTCCATTTTATTTTACAAAAGTTTTAATTATTTTAAAATAGAAAAACATCTTTGTATGAATATTTTACTGTCTACTGTTTTATAAACAGTTTTGAAAGAAATAGTCACTTTCTTTGTACTCCTTTAAAAGTGTGTTCAAATCATATCTTTTGATTTATTTTGTAGAATTAACCTAGACTACAGACTGATGCCATAATTTTAAACTTCGCTTTGTCTATGGGGCTTTCACATGCTGGGCAAACGTGAAACACGAGTAGCTAATTTTCTTTACTCTGTGCTGACTCTGTATATTCAAATTTAAGTATTTGAACATGGATATTAGTTTGCACTGTATAGGAGTGTTTGTTATTAGAAATGAATATCATTTCAAGGAAAATATCATTATAATAATTATTGTACAAAACCCAGATATCCCACAGATAGGCATATGGCTCACTCTTGTGACATGAAGATCGCTATATGTGTGGCTCCCTCTAGTGGCACAAAATGTGTACCATGGATCACTTTCTCAGAAGTCACATGCCGTTAAAGAGTGTAACGTAAACTATCTTGCAGGATATTATGCTTGTGGGTGTACCAATCAACATCATGTAAATATAATTACCTTTTATCAAATATCTGCAAACTGACATGTATTTTCCACAAAGCAGGGGTATTTTGGCACCTCAGACTCGCTACATCCGGGAAAGTTGTCTATATGTGTGAAACCTCTAGTGGCACAAAATGTGTACCATATGTGTGGCTCCCTCTAGTGGCAGATTAACTAGTCAGTATAATAGTATTACCGGTAGATTATGGGTTATAAAAATGTTGTTTTTGCATAATAAATGAAATAAAGTATTCAGTCAATAAGAAGCTCTGTATAAACACCAGTGCAATCAAGGGCATATAAGATAAGGGTTTGCAGTTAGGGTGATATGTGATGAAGACCTCATTTGAAATCTCACAAAGTATATCACCATAGTTTTCTCAATAAGGCTTTACAATGATGCACCATACCAGGATATTGGAAGCTGCATACCCATATTTTATAAATCTGTGGTGTTATTTATGTATAAAAATGTACATCAGGTTTATTTCTAAAAGATAAAAATATATAATTCATGATATGTATATGAATAATTCTCTGAGACGCACTGCATTTAGTTGCATGTATATTTTCTTAGTTTAAAATAAATGCCGGATGGGTGATTTTTTCATTCACTTTTGTGGATGTTGCTAGTTTCTCATGTAACACAGCATTGAACAAGTAGATTGTTAAAGCAGTCTAATAAATAAAAAACAAATAAAAAAAATAAATAAATAAAACAGTACAATTAAAGATTCTTTGTACCTGTTTTGACCAACATGAATTAACTATTCTCTGTGGAATATTCTTTTCATCCACAACATGCATTGTATAACTTTGATTAGTCTTGCAGAGAAATTGTGCTGTGTTTGTGTTCTGCCTGTGATATTGACCCCTACTATTCAGGGAGAATGAATAAATGCATTAGTTTTAATAATTGTGTTTTGATTCCTACCTGAGAAGTGAGTACAGTGTGAGCTTATTCAGTGTGTAAACAAGTAATACAAATTGACTATGTTATGATGTATCAATGTATAAAACAGATTAATGCCTCACAATTGCATACTGGTAATGTTGCATTGTACTTGAAATGTATTAACACTGTAGTTATTTCCCTATAGCAATCATTATATGTTACATGCATTGTTTTTATTTTGAAAATTGATACAGTCCACCAATCACTCAGGACATTGTAAACAAACAAATATGGCTGTCATATATTCAAATTTTTTGTTGAAATACAACATTGCTCTGACCTATGTATGTACAGACTTTGATTTACTTTTAATAGTAAAGAATGAGATTTCAGATAAATAAATATATTTTGATTATTAAGTAAATGCAATAAATACCTGTGGAATTTGTAAATAGATGACATAGCATTATGTTTGTAAATGTCCATGTAAGTGTTTACAGCTCCGCTGTCATTAAGAAAGACTCAGTTATTTATTACTGCTTGTCCACTTCTTTCTTTGTTTCTTGTAAGCCATATTTCATTCATATTTTTACATGCAAGTACTTTAGGTGCTTCAGACTTGCATTTGTTCATTTCCTTGACAGAATCATAAGTTTTCTTTTGCAAATTGTTTTTAGCAGAATATTTGTTTGGAAGCTATGATGTAAAACGTATGTGTGGACAAAGTTTATACCTCAAGAACTGCATACCATATTGATTTTATATTTGCTATAATTGTTTATTTGGCATGACTATGTTTGTTGTTTTAGATTAATAATCAGATTACCGGTATTTTGATAATGCACGAGTTACTTTAGCTCCTTGACTAGGGCAGATTATGTAACTTTTATGACAGCGGAGTCATTGATAAGTCATCTGTATTGATATTGATGTATACTGTTAGTTTCTCCATAGTATTATGTAAATATTTCCCATTGCTTGATATTTTATACCTATTTTTATTTCATGACACCTAAACATTGACACAAGTCATTCTGCATGTTATTTAAATAAGTGATTTCTAGCAAGATTCCATGTTTTAATTTCCTACATCCCACAACTGCTTGTTATATATATATATATTTGTTTTCAAACTGTTTTTCTCATTAAAGACTATGTTTTACACTTATGTTATGTGTTTGTATTTTATGTCCCAACTGCACAACAACCAATGACAAGCAATACTTCACTTTCTAGTATTTCTGACTATGATTCTTACATTTATTGCAGTGTATGAGGTGCCCTTCTCTAAATTCTCTAATAAAGACAACTCACAAATCCACTCATCAGTTAGTTTGTGTTTTCCTTGAGTATTGACAACAACAGTTGGTGTTGTTATTAAGCTGACGCCATCATTGTAGCTTGATCATTCCTATTAAAGTTGGTTTCTGTCACCCCTAGAACAAGCTGAAAACATAGAATGGGTTCAAACAATGCTGTTTTTAGGTAAAAAAAAATTATATATATTGCAATTTATGTGAAATTTAGTCCCCGGGCCAGGCCAATATTGGAATTTGTACAATTTTTAGTTCCGAAGCTGGGCCAATATTGCAATTTCTGTGGCATTCAGTGCCAAGGCTAGTCAAATATTCCAATTTGTGCGAAATTTAGTGCTGGGACTGGGCTGATATTTAGTTATTTATTTCACCAGAATGACCATTATAACATTATAACAGACATTATAAATAAAATACAATAGTAGTAGTCCTTATGGACTAGTCCAGTCCATGGCCCAGACTGTCAAGTAGAAATTTACAATTTACTAGTAAAGGAAAGGAAAATTACTATTTACATAACGAAAATTAAAAGGTACTACTGGTACAACGAATTTATATGCAGAAGAAAAGAAAAAAATGTTTACAGAGAAATGGGAGGTAATCGAGGAATTTAACAAAGCAAATAATGTTTCATTTCATATTTAAATTTGTTTCTGTTGTTGATGTTTTTGAGGAGTCTGGAAGTGAATTCCAGTGTTTTACTGCAGCAAATTTAAAATTATGTTGTGAAACTGTAAGTTAGCAACAGGAATTGACAAGTTACCGCTAGACACTGAACTTGTGGGATAGCAATGTGGGTAATCATTAACATACTTATTGAGGCTATGTGC